GCTCGCTTTCTGCCTACTGGAGATAGAGTTCCACTCGTCAGAGGCAGCCCCATTCGAAGAAGGACCGGAGCACCCAGAAGACAGCGTGGAGTTTCTGATCATCCAAGCTTGGAGGACAGCGGAGCAGGGCGATCTGCTGGGATTTCTGTTCGGGAAGGTGGAGGAGGTCAATCTCACCTTGATCACGGACGAGTTGCTGGTGTTTTTGACTCAGCTGGCAGACGATCTGCCCCTAGACATCACAGTGACAAGCAGCCTGACACCCACGTGCTATCTCAAACGCTCGAGCCGCACCTTGTGTGGTCAACGTGCACGGAAATCGACGAGGACAATTGTCTCTATCCCTCCCAGGCGCTCTACTTGGAGGTCGACGTTACCGATCTCACGTTTTGGGACCCGATTGCGAGACAAAACGTGGCGTAGGACGAGGAGATAATGAGAGCCGACGAAGAAGAGGAAGAAAAAGAGTCATCGAGTGAGGAAAGGGATGATCCGAACTACGTACCGGATAAAGAGGCAGGGACAGCCGACGAATCAAACCAGTCGCGGGTGTAGGACGAAGGGGTGGAATCAGAAGAAGACGAAGGAAGCGGGCTATCAGGATCGGAGTGCGAAGGATTCGAGGCTGAAGTGCGAGACGCGGCGCGAAAACGAGCAGCGGAGGAAACGGAAGCACCAGGAAACCGCGGAGGGAAAGCGACCCGCAACAGACGTGTCCTCTGTCGATCCGTCGATCAGGGAACCATGGCGTGATCCAGAGTTTCCAGAAGAGGAAGACGATGGAACCACAGCAAAGGGATCACGGAGCCAAGGAAGAAGAAGAAATGAATCGCCAGCTCCCTCCGGCTCCCCGTCCCGATCCTCCCTTCGTATACATCAAGATCTCGGCGTTCGGGGTTCGTCCCCGGTCGTTCTCTCGCCGACCCCGTGACTACCTCATGGTCACCTGCCTCCCCCATAGACCCCCGTTCCCCGATGGATGGTGTCCCTTCCCCCATCACCTTTTCTACCATCTCTATGCTACCCGCCTTCTAGTCTCCGACTATCCACACGTCACTACTCGCTCTGTGGTTGATTCCTTTCTCCTTCATGTGCTCCTATTTAGCGCAGACTGGTGGGAATATAACCACGTAGAAGTATACTGTATTGTGTTAGGGACTATTCCCGCCTGCGAAAATTATGAAGATTTTCGCGCCGCCTTGCGACGGACCCTCTCCACCATCTACCCCGATTATATTGCCGTTTTTCGTCATCTTCATGAGGTCCCTCATTTCCCCCGCATCCATCGCTCCTTCCACTACGCTACCCTTCCTAATTCCGCCTCTCCCGCCATCAATCGCTTCATGCCCCCTCTCCTCCTCGACCATCCGCCACCTCCACCCTCGATGATCCGGCTGCCCTTCCCCGGTAACATCTAAGGTCTAGAATCTACCCTCCTGTTACACTGATGCATGGTTGATGGCACGTGTCGCGACGACGGCACGAGAAAGATCCCGCCCTTGGATCGTCAAGAGCCCAATCTGAGGAACTAGTAGAAGAGCAGAGTTGCCACGTTGGATAACGTCCGCATGCACTCAAACGGTAAGTGGCATAAAGTGAAGTGCTCCGCGTGTCGATCGATTACAGAAATCGACACGTGTCAACAAGCAAGCAGGAACTTGCTAATATTGGAACCCCCTGGGCATCACATATGTGACGAACCACTTTCTGTAACGCGCGAGTTTCTACGCGGTTGCAACGAGGGGTCCTAAGCTCGGAAGATTGGGCCAATTACGGAAAACCGGGATCGGTGGAAAATTGCATCATTACCCTTGCTTCTTCGTCTTTTTCGTCGCTTCTTCGGGGCTGGGTGTGTCTTAGGACGGCCGGATGAGTAATTGGTCGGATGGATGTCTCGCGCGCCACCGTGCGTGCGATTAATAAATGTTGACGTCGCTTCTTTCGTTTCGGTTTCGATCTTTTGGGCGCGGACATCACGCGGAAAAATTGTTGAGCTCTTTGTCAATTTTTCTTTAAAACCTTTTTGAATTTTGTCGAGCCCCGATGGCTCTCGGAATTTCGGATTTCCCTTCTGGAATTTTAACCTTTTTGCTTTTTCGCATTAGATAAAAATTTAGGAATTTAGTAATTAGGATTTTTCCAGCCGCGCGGCGCTTTTTGTTCACGCGCTTCTTCGCACAGCTGAAACGAAACTCTGATTAGTGGGCGCCCTTAATCGTATGTGTAACTGTAATTTTGGGCGAGCGCCATTGTAACTGTATCTCTCTTCTTGGATTTCGTCTCTCCCTCCCTCCCTTTTTTTCTTTTGCTGGAGTTTTGTAAGCCGCGGCTTGCATGCTCGGATCGATGCGTGGAGAGGGGTTGCGCCCCCCATGTCGCGGCTGATCATGCAGAACGTCGGCGCTCCCTCTCTAATCCCCGCTCTAAGTTCTGGTAATTCCGTGTCCTTCTCGCATGCATGCACGCGTTAAATTCCGGCTGCGCGATTAGTTAGCTCTCTTAACCTGCTGTTGGAAACTCGGGGTTGCGCAATCAGGATGGGTCGGCACACGAGCGAAGTAAGAGGTGAGTAAAGTAGGAGTAGGGCGACCCGATGGGCTGGTGCCGAACGCGCGGGATTGACGTGGGCCGCGACGGACTGTGGGCACGGGCGAATCTGACGGGTGCGGGAGGGAGGACTAAGCGGGGTGACAACTTCGTGGGTGGGTGCGTGACGACGGACTGTCCGCATCGGAGAGAGAGAGAGAAGGAGAGAGAGTTGAGGTCGATGGACGTGGATTTGCTGTTTCTTTGTCTCTTCCCCTTTTTCGTCTGTGTACATACATTTTGATTACGGCTCCGAGCGGTTTGCCCGTTCTTACTTTCGTTTCGGCTTTCTGAGATTTGGGCTTTGGGTTTTTGCTCACATTTGTCTTTCCTATGTCCGTCCCGATTGCATTATACCTATGCTTACCGAATGTATGGTCGTATGAATGTGTAGAGGTATGGACGTTATGCCTGTCTATACCTCTTTTTGTTGAGGATCCCTGTTCTTGCTTCTTGTTCGTCCTTGCCCACACCTGATGCAGCTGCAGATGAGATATGAATATGGCCCCGATGGCGATTTTGTCCTCGTTTTTGCTTATCTCACGATGAGGGGTGTGATATGGTTGCATCTTGCATAATCCGAAGCAATTAAACCGCGAACGCCACGCGAGAACCCGTGGAAACGCAATCCGAGTCGCGCCCTTATACGCATTCCTGCGCAACGACTCGCTCCCCCTATCCCGAAAGGAGTCACGACGGAACCATCATCCCGTACGAGCACGCCGAGGCGCCACTGAGCTGGTTTGTCCTACACATGCTCGTACACGGCGACGATAACCCGACCCGCGCTATCCCGCCGACGATGATACCATGACGCGATCTTGGAACTCGGACTCGTCCTACAACCCAGACTATTTCACCCCTATAATAAACGAGCTCATAAGGACACGATATCCCTGTCACACGGAGAATCAGTTATGTCCACGGGAATTCCACTGTGCCACCACTAGCAACCCTCGGTGCTCCGATTTCCCTTCCCCCGACCACACGTACTACTTCACCCACCCGGGATTCGTTGAGATCACCACCAGTTTCCCTCCTTTCCGCCTCCTTCTCCCATATCATCAACTCAGTGTCGTCCCGTGGCCCGCCATAGCCCCCTACTGGCCCAATACGTTTTG